CTTGTTATTTCAGCAGAGGAAGCAAAATCAACATGGGGAACAAAAGAAACAGATGCGCGAGAGGACATATATTGTAATGCCTTAGTAATAACATCGATGCTGTCATGACCGCTCTTCAATGGTTCGCCTCCTAACAGTTCACTATGTATAGAAGGGTGATTTGCACTATCAAGATTTTCATGATGCGAATCAGGGAAAGAAATACCTGATTCTATATAACCAAGCGGAACCTTGCGAATACGTGGGAGCAAATGTGTATCTTTTTTTCGTGCAGATCTCGTTTTTCTTCGACGTTGCAGAAGTTCCTTTTTTTCAACGGTGGCATTTCTGCATACTTTTTTCGGCGAGTAGCATTTCTATCCATTTGATTTCGCTAAGAGTACTAAAATGCCAAAGGAGTATATAAAGAAAGGAACATCCAACTCAGCAAAAAAGAATGCAAACTAAAAACCTCCGGAAAATAGAGGGAGCAACAATGAAATAAATAGCAGAGAGGTAAAGGAGCTAATAGTTAACAGCTGAGCAAAAAGCAAATATGTGACAAAAACAAAAGACCAGGCAGATAATGATAGCACAGGAAATATACATTTTCTTACTAGAAATGGAACAGCATCAGAAACAATAGAATAACGTGTACATGGAATGTGTAAGGATCACAAAAGGCAAAAAGATCCAAACTAAAAAAGGTCAAACTGGAGCAGGATTCAACAAACGATTAATCAGAAAATGCATTTCAAAGAGTAAAAAAATTAAAGGATACAATACAGAGAAAAGAGCAAAAGAAGAACAAAACAAACTGAGAATAACTAACATGCTAGTATGAAGAAGCTCAGCACCGCAAAATTGAATAACAGCAGAAACTATCAAACAAAACCACGAGAACGTAAGTGGTCATAAGAAAATGTGGGAAAAATAAAGGGGGAAAAATAAGCTGGTTTGGTGATAAGAATTAAGTAAGGGCAGGAGGAAAAATGTAATTGGACGAACCAGTGCGCAGGAAAGTAGAGAAGCAAGGAAGAAATAAGAAACACACCAGCATGACAGCAATTCTCAAATATACGGACAATTAGAGGAAAAACAAAAGAAAAACAAACTGCAAAATGAATATGCTTACCAGGAAGTAGCGACAATAGCAGCAGTGCAAAGTAAAACCAAACCAACAAAACCGGGAAAAGGGAGGTTCAAAATAGCTAAAGAAAATGAAGAACAATGCTTATGAGGTAACTCTTTCTGCTTAGCAAAGAAACAATAGCAATAGAATAGGGAAAAGAATGCAGCAGATGCACAATTACCACTGATAATGATGATGATCAGCAGAAAATCTGCTGTGGAAAACCAGAGAAACGGTATAACCATTGTGCAAACGGAAAGTAGAAAACAACATCAATCAATGGGAGCAAAAGAGCTGATGGGCGACAAGGGGAAGAAGTGACGGTATCTTGCAGATTTACAGACATAACCCCAAGCAAAGGACAAAAGGACTACAAGGGCTCTTATGAGGAAGCGTAAATGCATCCAGAAGAGATGGGCAATATAATAAAATAAGACAGCATTATTTGGCCAAGTACAATCACTTGTCAACAAAAGGAGGCTGATGACAACTAATGTGAAACGGTGGATGAAGAAATCGAGAAAGTATGCATCCAAACTAAATAAATAAAATGCGTCCATAGTTAATTGCAAAGAATTGGTAATTAGGTATGTTAATTATAAAATTAGTTAATTACGAATCAATTAATTATTAAGACGGTCAAAAGTAAAGAAGAAAAGATTAATGAGAAGCATTTTTTTCAAGGCAGAGCAATGTAGACATATTAATTGACTAACAATTAATAGTAACAATTTGGTAATTAACTGCGATTTGTTAGGCAACAAAAATTAACAAATTACTTAATTAATTAGCAATTAATTGCAAAAAAGGGCAACCAAAATATGATCTGATCAGTAACAAAAAAAAGAGACTATTTTTTAGGCTAATAACTACAAACAACTGGTAATTAAATGCGATTTGCCTGGCAATAAAACCGTGAAACCAGAACTTAATTAACATAAAATGAATTGGGAAAAAGTCGATGACTAAACTTGATTTGTTGGGCAACCCAAAAAATAAAAGGGCATTTTCTTAAAGAAATTTGGGAAAAGGGGATTAAATGAGATTTTTTGGGGAAAAAAAATTTTTTGGTTAATAATTGCCAAAAAGTTATGAAGTAAATACGATTTGCTGGGTAAAAAAAAGTCAATTTAAAAAGACACAATTAATTAGTTATTAATTTATAAGATTAGCTAATTATGAATCATTTAATTATTAAGATGACCAAAAGCAAAGAAGAAAAGACCAACGAGAAACGTTTTTCTCAAGGCGGAGCAATGTTGACATATTAATTGAGTAACAACTAACAGCAACAATTTGGTAATTAATTGCGATTCTCTATGCAACAAAAAAGTAACAATACTAATTAATTAATTTGCAATCACTAATTGTTGAAAAGGGCAACCAAATATGATTTGATCCGCAACCCAAAAAAAGCGACTGTTTTTTTGGCTAATAACTACATACAACTGATAATTCAATGTGATTTGTTAGGTAAAAAAACATAATAATAATTATAAAGTCGGTAATTAAATGCAATTTGGCCGACTAAAAATCCCGAAACCAAAGCTTAATTAATAAAAAATGAATTGAAAAAAAGTTGATGAGTAAAGCTGACTTGTTGGGGAACCCCAAAAAAAAAAAAGAGGGCATTTTCTTAAAAGAATGTGGGAAAAAAGGTAACCAAGCGAGATTCTTTGGACAACCCAAAAAAATTTTTTTTTTAATAATTGCACAAAGTTATGAATTAAATGCGATTTATTGGGTAAAAAAAAGTGACAATAAAAAAATGACATCATTAATTAGTTACTAACAATTAATTAGTAACTAATAATAATCAATACGGTTAAAGCAATAATTACAATAAAAGATAAAAGATAAGAATTAATATTTGCGATTTAGCCGGCAACGTGGGACCAAATGTTGTCGGAACACTCCCCAGCAAACAACAAACAAAGAAACAAAAGCAATTGCTAGGCATCCAATTGTCAAATGGGCTGGACGACCATCAAGAGGAAAGAACCACGGCCGGACGACCACCAATCAACCAGTGGAAGCGTGCCACATCAGCAGTTAGAGCCCAATTGAAAACCTCCCCATTCTCCAATAGATTAGATATGTTAATTAATTCTACTAGATGTGCATAGTAGAAAATGAAAAGGAACCCAAGTCCGTGATTTAAGCACACCTTCCCACATAATATGTAACTTCTTAAATATACAATACTTGCAAAGGTAAAAAGTAACATAGCCAAGTTTTTTTTTTTCCTTTTTTCCTGTACCTTCTTAATATTTGTTGCAAAAAAAAAAAGGATGTTTTAACATATCCATTAATTGAGTGTATGGTTCTTTGTTGAGGAAAAATAGAAGCAATTTAAAAGTTTCTATACTACTCTAACTGAAATACAAAGAAGGAAAAGTGTGTCTTGCATATCGACTTGGCTCAGCTAACTATAAGCATCATATCAATCTGTAGCAGAATTAAAAAAGGAATTGAGATTTTGTGGCTAGCTGCATCAAGTCAAACAAAATGGGAAAAAAAAAAATGGAAGCTCCAGAAATTGCTTTCAAGAAACTTGAATTACACTCGTGAGGGGATTGACTCTGTTTTTAGGGACTCGACTCTTCATCTTCTTCGCTGGAACTCCATGCATCAACACAGTTTTCAATTAAGATCTTTAGAACTTCATTTCCCATATCTATCTGTTCTTGTTGAATTTGCTTCACTGAACTTGCAACAGACTCACTACACCCGCTCACCTCAATCACTTCAAGAGCCGGACATTCCCCTAAACAAGAAGGCACCTCTTCCAACATCAGACAACTATGCACAACCAATTTCTCAAGACGGGGAAAATTATCAAAAGATGCAGTCCAGCTGCAAAAGTCCCGCAAGCCTCTCAATTTCAAGACTCGGAGGCTAGGGAACTCCCCTTCTTTCATTTCCCATTCTTCCCCAACGAAGGAGCCATCGAGTAATTTAAGCACTTCAAGTTTGGGCAACTTTCCAATTGTTGAAATTTCACTCCATGGCTGCTCAATGTAAGAGAGAGTCAACTTCTTCAAATTCAATGGGAATTTAAATCCATATCCATGAAAGGAATGCAGAGCAAGTGATTGCAGTTCACTAAAATAGTCAAACAAGGGAATCCCACCGGCAATTCTGGTAGGTTCTTCTCTTGATGTCGTCATTGTACATCTTAGCCTGCGGATGTTTGGTAACTTTGTCAGTATCTTTTGCAAGCTTTGAGAGGAGGGATCAATGGCAAGGCTTAAAGTGTCTAAATGAATTAAGCCTGGGCATACTTCAAGATTTTCAACAGGAAAAATGAAACCAGCATAGGAATATGTAGTCCATAGATGCCTCAATGTCTTAATGTTCCAGATAGTCTTGGGTAACAAATAATCAGCATTGTTTCCTCGTAGCAGAAAAGTTTGTAACTTGAGAGGTTTGCTATTGCAGCTGGGATGAAATTTGTTCCTCCAATACTAAGAGCCAAGTATCTCAAGTGAGCAAGCAAAAATACTTCCATGGGAAAATATGCACCAAACTCCAATTCCCCCAAATCCAACACTCTAAGAAGTTTAGGTAACCAAAATCCCAAATCATCCTCCTTAAACAATAACAAACTGCGTACATTGGGAAATTCTAGCATTAACTCCCAAATCATCAAATTCCTGCCATTTTGATCACAAACTCGGAGGGGGTTGCTTGGACCAGTAAGAATAAAACGATCATTCCGACCATGCAAAACATGTAGAAAGTTTTCTTCTTTGGCTTTTTTCACACAAAACTCATGTACCAAATCATGAAGTCGGCAGGCTTTAGCACCACCAATGGTTCTTTGTTTAGAAACCATAACTAAACTTCTATCAATCAGATCCTTCAAGTAGTTGTCTGCCACATCCTCTTAGCTCTTTCCTTCAGTCTTTCGTACGAATCCCTCAGAGATCCAAAGCCATGACAACCTTCGGACAGGAACATTTTCGTCTTCTTTAAACGCACCAAAGTAAAGAAGGCATGGCTTCAAATCATCCGGTAAATGACTGTAACTCAGCTCAAGTGTCTTTATGCAGTATTCATCATCAAGGACAATACTGGAAGGTAGACTCTTTGCAACTTCTTCCCAGCAGTCTTCTGTAGTATTAGCAAGAATTCCAGCAACTAGGACAACTGTGAGAGGTAAGCCCCTAAAAGATTTTGCTATTTGAGATGTAACTCCACTTAGTCTTGGAGGACAACCTTGTTTGCCAAATAGCTTTTTCTGCAGCAAATTCCAACTCTCTTCATCGGTAAGGCGGCGGAGATGGTGGACCTTGCTATCAGGTTTGAACTGCAGAGGCAAATTCTGCAATCTGCTCGTGATGAGAATCCTGCTTCCGTTGGCATCATCGGGCAATAATCTCTCCAACAAATTCCATACCTTAGCATCCCACAAATCATCCAAAACTAGGAGATACCTATTTCTCAGCAATACTTGTTTTAGCTTGATAGCCAAATCAACTTCATCCACCTTTTGATATTGTTCAGGACTCCCAGAACCAATACTACCCAATATCTGAACTAACAAGTTGTGCTCGCTATATACTTGAGAAACAATACACCAAGCACGAATATGGAAATGCAACATTACTGAAGAAGAACTGTAAATTATATTGGCTAATGTGGTCTTGCCAAGCCCAGGCATACCCACAATGGGAACAACATCCAATTGCCTTGCCCCTTTTGTAAGTCTTTGAGTGATAGTTTCCACCTCGCTGTCGAGAAGCACCAGACCTTCATTGTACGTGGCGGCAGTAGCTTGTGATGGCATGCAAGTGAAAGTGTTGGTAACTCTTTTGGTTTCACCAACGTAGCTTATGCTATCATAGATCTCTTGAGCCTCAATCTTCATAACATTGATATCTCTAGCAACATCATCCAAAAAATATTCACCTCCATCACCAACAAGTGTCCAGTCGATAACTAACTCTGCTTTATATGCAATCTCCATTACATGACTCCAGAAAGCTTGTAGTTTTTCATTCCGGTTGCGCTGGTTTACTATCTTGACAAGGAAAGATCTTAAGCATACGAAATCTTCTAGGACTGTGTGGATTTGATCTTTTGAGAATGCAATTGAATCATCAGCCTCATTACAACTTTCTAGTTCCTTCAGATTTTCAAGGAGAAAATCGATAGAGCCCAACTCATTGGTCCTGGGAAAACCAAATGGCGAGAATGATGTCACTGGATTTTTAACTTCTGCCCTAATTAACTTGAGCACTTTGAGCAAATGAAAAAGAGCAAGATCTGTTTCCTTGGCCAAGCCTTCTTCGATTTGATTCACAGAAAGAGAGAAAATTACAACCGCTGCATCACAGGCCACAACTCCAATAAGATTCTTCATTTCATGGCATAGCTCTTTGAACTTCTGCTGATGCCTGAGAAGCATTCTCAGGAATCTTAGCCCCTCAAGGAGTTTTAGCATTTGATTCATAATCGGAACGAGAATATTGGTACAAGATTTCAGCAGCTCCTTAATATTGTGAACGAGACGATCCATAAAGTCAGCCACTAGATGCTTGTTCTTCTCCAGATCTGAAATGTCCGATGATCTTGATAGCTTTGCAGCAGTCAAGACATGGATGTAAGTTTCTCCGACCTGGGGATCACCGGGATTAATCTTCTCACATATTAGTCGAGACATTTGAAGTTTTGTTTCATTCCATACTTCATTATCTGTGTGAAAGCACTGTATAGAAGCCAGGCGTAATGCATTCATAGCCATCACTTCAGCGTGAATCAAGAGATCTATCAGTTGCTGGCCCTTGACACAGCGAAGCATGGCAAACCGAATGAAACTTTTCAATAACATTAGCTTCTTTCCAAGGCGTTCAAAATGGAATCCATTCATTTTCGCCAGAGTCTTTGAAACCGAATCAATGAAATCAATAACTAGTTCTGGATCTCTCAGCCAGTAATACTCCAACAGAAAGTTGATGTACGATTCCTTGATATGTGTCTCGAAAAACAACTTGATTGCTTCCCGGAATCTGGTGAGCTCACTTCCGATCTGAGTCGAATCAGTTGAACAAGAATGAATCAAACATTCGCTGCAAGCAAATTCAAGATCTGGCATTATTCTGATAATCAGATTTTGAATTCTGAAAGAAGTAGCATCCCTCTCCTCCTCATCTTGCTCCAAACAGGTTTCATGGTTCCTCCTCCTCCTCCTACACTTTGTCAGATACAGATTAAAGCTTTGTAATAGTCTCACTCGGATCTCCAGCTGTTCGATATTAAAATTGAACTTATGTTGGAATGCCTCATCGATATCAACACTGAACTTATGTTGGAATGTCTTCTCGATCCAGCCCAGATAATCGAGAGCGAGCTCAAAGCAACTAGGGCTACTGCTGTAGCATATCTCCATTGTTGTACCTTCTATTCACCTGAAAACAGTCAAATATTAGATAGCTTTTGACTCTTCCTTCTTTCCCCGTTGCAAGTTGCCAGATAGCTTTGGTCTACTTTCGGGCCAAAGCGCATTTCCAATAATAACGGATCCTAAAGCAGTAAATGTTTGTAGTAATGCTTACCGTTCATTTTTCACAATATCTACGATAACTGTAACATTTGGTTTTGACACTAAAGCAGTAAATAGTAGTAATTTTACCAGAATGTAAACACCATAGTCAAAATTGCTCAAAGTTAACAGTTGAACTATTTTTTCCATCAAAACCATCATTATCCTTGTCAAAACTCCGCGCATATTAATTGAACAATTCTTATAAAGCCAATTCATATGCGGAAGTCACAACACAAACCCTACCAATTAAGAAAGAGTTCACCTCAAAAAAATGATTCTAAATCATGACAATTCTTCCCAGGCATAAGAATCCCTAAAATAGCAAAGAGGTGAGTTATTTATTAATTTGTTTCTGTCGTTTAAATCATATATGATTTAGTATAGGATTGTCTATTTAGAAATATAATGGATTTTAACTATAATTCTCTTGTCAAAAGCAATTGATTGTACTTTGAACTATTGTATAGGAGGGAGGAAAAAAATCGTAGCAATTAGCCAGCATAAAGCCATTAGTAAGACTAAATTGCTAAAATCATTTTTGGGACAAGAATTTGCTAGTAAACTAACAGTCATAACAACGAAAAATCACCCTTTTTTAATGAAAAATCATCTTGACTGACATTAAAATATTAGCCCAACATTTGAATTTTCCAATTGAAAACATGAAGATTGAAGAAATAAAGCATCCCCTTAGAAAAGGTATTTGCCAACCATCTTAAATTAGTAATCCAAACTTCAGGCTTCTAAAGTCTTCCAGATATATTGCCCAATTTTTTCCTTTCTTTCGATATTGTACTTCAATACATATAAGTAAAACAATATGAAGATAACAAGAAATAACATGCCCAAAAGGTAAACCATCCAACCTACCTCTACCAAATAGTAAATATGATACTAGACTCTCAACCTGCAACTGTTGGCAGCAATAATACCAAAGTTATCTGCTAAATTAAGGAAGTTGATTCATGATTGCATAAAAGACGAAGTAAGAAGAAACATACCTAAGAGTTGCCGTTTTGAAAAAAAAAAAGAAAAAAAGAAGAAACATACCTAAGAAACCTACCTTTAAAGGTATCCTAGGATGCCGACCTTTTAAATACAAAAGATGGATCCCAAGATTGTTTAACTAAATGATAAGCAGTGGCTACTGAGAATTCACCTAAGCTTGTCAAAGACCAAAACATCTTTGTCCATAGACCCACTAAGAAGATGATTTGTATGGTAAAATTTTGGAAAAGTACAAATCTTCCTCAAACACCAGAAGTTGAGGCTTAAAGTTCCTTCAAGTGTTGGAAAAGTCTGAAGTGAGGAAGAGTTGCCAAAATTCACAAATGAGTGACTAATGTAATACGACATGTAGGTTTTAATATGCTATTATAAGTTTCACTAGGGACAGAATTGTGGCAGTAAATTGAGTATAACCAGTAGTAAGTTTTTGTATAAAAGAAATGAATTTCACAATTTATGTAACTTACTCTTTAAATAACAATCTTATTAAATTTTTAGTAAAAATATCACTTTTTCTTCAAAACTTATCATTTTTTATATACAACATATCTTACTAATTTTCAAGCAAAACTTACCGTTTGTTATACAGAAGTTACTAATTGTTCAAGCATAATTTATTACATTATTAACATATCTTACCATTTTTTCATGCAAACCATTCCAATTTTTAAGTAAAATTTACCGTTCTTTTATTGAAACTCACAACTACTTTTTTATGACTGAAAAACTCTTGGTAAATTTATCATTCTCTATGAATAAACTAATTAGTGCACACACTTTTCGATCTATAGCTTATAAATTCACAGTCATTGCTTATTTGCAATTGAATACATGTTTAAATAAAACTACATCTTAACGAAACACTAACTATTCTGCTCTACACAACCAATGCCTTGAGGATTATCATTGCACAAGTCCTAGAGGATATCTCTAGAACTGTCAATGGGGTTGGACCAGTCCGAACGACTCATTTGGCTGGAGAAAAAATTCAATGAACCCGACCTTTCAGTGAGCCAGTCTGAATTTGAGCCTAAACAATGGGTCCGAATTAAATATGAGTCGAGATTGGGGCTCATTAGGCTCAAATTCAATATAGGCCCAATCCTTTAATTACACATATATATAATGATATATATAATATTTATATTTTGATATTATATATAATTATATATTCAAACATATTATTACTAAATACTAAATATATACAAATTACAAAACACAAAAAGACATCTGAAAACTTCTCTACTAACTTTCTTGAGAGTCAATATTGATAATGCATAATTGAAATTCTAATTTTTCTTATTGGTTGAATAAATTATTATATTGGTATAATATTGGTTGATTTCTTTTGGTCTAAAAACACAAATCATCAAGTATATTTGGATTTAAGTTACAAGGCTATGAAGAAATTCCAACCTTTGAAGATGTATTGGTTTATGACAGCATGTTTTATTACTATTTTCCATGTATTTTGAACGAATTAAATATAAATATTGTTGAAAATTTTTTTATTTATGTACTTTTTAAAAATTCTTACTTGTTTATGTTTAATTTTAATATTATAGTCCTATGAATATTAAATTAATTTTACAACTTAATAGTATAGTAATTATATTAAGAAAATTGAGGAGTAATAAGTGAGTTTGGACTAAATACGAATAAGGCTCAAAACCAGAATATTTTATGAGTTGAATATGATCTTCATATTTATTAAGCCGAAATTTATGGCCCGAAATCCAAGAATATTACTAATTAAATGAGTTGAGCTTGAACTTACGAAAGCTCGACTTATATGACAAACTAGGGGTGGCAATTTTCGACACGACTTGAAAACATGACACGAAACTAACACGAAATTAATAGGTTTTGGTTGATGCTTCGCAGGTTCATGTCAGAATCGCGTCGAATCCGATGAACCAGAAAAAAAATAAATCAAATTCAAGTCACCCACGGGTTGGCCCAATAACTCGTTTATGAATTAAAAATAACTTAATAAATATAAAAATATTTTATCTAACTGAACTAAGTTATTCTTTTTTTTCCGAAAGGCAATAACCACTTAATCCTAAATGAATTTGTTTAACGAGTGTGAAGTTGGAATTATTATATTTGGACAAATGATCTATTACATTATTTTCTATTTTTATAGTATCTTAATGGGATAATTGCAGAAACCTCCCCTGAGGTTTCTGACACTAGCACTCACCTCCCCTATGATTCTAAAACTGCACTAACCTGCCCTAGGAGGAAATTAGACCTATTAGTAACAATAAATTGTATGATTTTATTTTTATACCCTAACTAATTGCAGAAGCTTAATGAAAGAGAAAATTTATTTTTTGTCAACAAATTGAGTGACTAATTAAATTAGATTACTCTAACTTTTAGCATTATTAGTCATTATAAGCAAAACTAAGGAATGGTGTCAATTGGGGGGAGAAAACAGCGTACATGTTTTTATATTATGCTCTTCAAACCAGTCAATTTAAGTCTAATTTTATACAACTGCAGAGAGGAAGGCCAGTAAGCAATTCTAAAGTTTCTACTAAAATAAGTATAAAGAGAACTTGCACAAATATATCTACTCAAATTATTTCTATTTCAAAACCTCCTCTAGTTCAGCCCATTACTACTTCTCAAGTTGCTACATCTCTTTCCATTAATACAATTATAACCCTATAATCTGGAAATATCAACAGCAGCAGCAGTTTTAGTATGTGGTTCTAATGCACTTACTGCAATTTTCATTTACTAAAGATAACTTTATCTTATAAATATGCACTTCTAATTACTTGTAATTAAACTTATCTCATACTCAGTAACTTTTAGTGATGCTTAAGTATACTGTTAATTAACTGATTGTTCAACGATATATATATATATTTTTTGTATATGATTGGTGCTGTCAACATAAGTAGTTATGTTACCCTTACAAATAGCTATTCATATTACTAATAGAGAATTTAAAAAGTGACGTGTATTTTTTATAAACTTTGCTGCAAGAACCTGGATATATAGTCATTTAACTAGCCGTTAGTATCCACCGATGCTTGATGTATTATTGTTGGTAAATTTCATTCAATTGCACTTACACCTAAGGTTTTCAAAATCGGGATCCTATCTAGTATCATTTTTTGGTTTGCAAGATCGGATCGTAGAATCGGTAGATCTTACAAAAAATGTAATAAATTGTCATATTTATAATTTTTAAGTTTACAATTTATAAATATAGTAACAAATAATGTAATTCATGTGCAATCAATATAATTATATTGTTAATTAAGGTTAATTCATTTCTAAAGGCTCTAAACCATATTAATTTATTATAATAAAGACACAAAACACTAGTTCCATGTGATAACCTATAACAAAGATCATTTATTCACTTTAGTGAATTATATGAGTCAAATTTAAAGATTCATCAAATTTTCTAGGTTTGGAATTGGGCTTAATTATTTACATGGATTTAAAGCACTGTGAATATAGTTTAAAATGCAACAAATGACACTCAATTTCGAGTTTTCTACACAAAGATATAGTCAAAATACTAAAATTGTTATTTAATTTATTGAAAATAGTAGGATCGTATCAAGATCGTAGGTTGGATCGTTAATCTTAATTCGGATCGCAGGATCGTACGATCCTACGATCCGGATCGCAATCCTAACAACTATGCTTACACCCCTTGAATTTTGCTAATTCTTAATAGCTTTTTATATTTTATCATTTCTCTGTTAATACAATTGGCAAACAACATGAAGGGCAAATCTGGTACAAATTTTTCATCTCACTCTTTAAAAAAAATTTTAACGATAACTTTTTTGGCATAGACTGAA